TTCGAAAGGACCATGTGGTTTCTCGTTTATTACCCTTCAGTGAAGGCGGAGGCGGAAGTGGTGTAGTGGCACGCTTACCACGCGAGCGGTCCGGGGATCAAATCCTGGGTCGTGAGTCGCCCGGGCCAACCAAGCCTTCCATCCCTCCGGGGTCGGTTAATTGGTACCAGACTTGTCTGGGAGGATAAAAACACTGACTTGTACATCGGCTGGCCCCGCAAGTCATTGTATAGGCCACATCGCATTCAAACGCCACTACGAATGTACAAATGGAAGTAGAATGCGTGCCGCATCCCAAAAGGGATTGATCAACGGCAAATGCTTTATCCTTTATCTTTTTACCCTCCAGTGAACATGTTTTGTTCTCCACTCTAGTTGTACAGATTTCCCATGACCGCCTCATCTTGTTTCCCTAATTTCTAGTATACATACAAAACTTTATTATATTTTTTCCTATAACATGGATCTAACTAACTAACTGGGACAGGTTGGCTGCGGTTCCGACTCCCGCAGTTAACGCACATCGTAAGGTGTCGTGGTTTGCTGTGGAGTAAGAAAGTAAAAACACGCGCTATTGTCAAGGCGTTCAAGCGTGAATTGTCAAAATTCTTGTCATGTCGATTTCGGTTTGAAACAAACTTCTCATAAACTTACACGAAATCAAACAAGATAAGCATCTACTTGATAGCTTGACTTCACAAAACCTCGAAAATGCCTCTTCATATCAGCTGTTTATAATGATGATACGTTTCAGAGCCGCAGCTAAACGCTTACATTGGCCAAAGGCTGAACAAATTCAGACAATCAGTAGCGAATGGAATTGCTGTCAAGCTTGGCGGGCACTTACCAGGCAGTTCGTCCATGTTCTCGATGGTAATCCTCATGATATTACAGTTAGTCAAGTATATCAATGGTGACAACGCATAATTCAAGACGTCCAACTTGACGTGGTTTCATGATTCTTCATCCTGTCTTCCTTCTTTCTAGATCCAAAAATGTAAAACTTCTGAAGATCTCTGTATCAAGGCGTCGTGATACAATCATTTTGGCAAGACTTGATTGATTTTCCTGTGTGATCTTTGTGAGGAACATCATAAAATGTCCTAACTTTCCATGATTCTTCCTCATAGTAAATCGCCTTTGACATAGCGGCTGCGCGCATCACATCGATATCAAGCTTAACCGTTTGCATTTGATCGCATGGTGATGTTCACGACTCAGCTCGCGTAGTGTTTGTACCCCTTTATCATCTCTGAATCTATACACAGCCTTGAGTAATGAGAGGGGACCATTATATTAGTCTCCTACGAATGGCATGGAATAATATAATGGTCTCCATTCATTACTCAAGGTTGAATATAGCATTGCTGAAAGTATACAGCTGGAGTTATAAGCTAGATTTTCAGAGACCATGAAGCATGAAGAAGCTGAATGCTTTCAGGTCATTAACGATAATGGTGCTAAGAGAAATCACAAGTCAACTGTTAATCAGTTAACTGTTCATCGTACTTACTATTATAAAGCGCTTCGTCTGTCGTCTGTCTGTCGTTCTGTATGTCTGTCACGAAATTCCCTAGCTCCTCGGGATCCGCCTGGAGGGACCGGGTCAAGTGTGGGATGGGTGGGCAAGGTCTCACGAAGTACAAAACACACATCAGCTAAGCGGAGCCCCGCCCACAGTGGGCGTGGCGTGCATCGAAATGAACTGTACTGAAGACCAAGATTTCAATTTCAGTGACAAAACAACCTCGAAACTGGGCCAAAAAGTGGGTAAAGGTGTGCATTGGTAAGTCACATCGAATTAGGGAGACCCACCCCGGTGGGCGGGGCGTTCTCCAAAAAAGCAGTGCTTTATGAAAAATTTCATAACTCGGTTGGGAGAAAGCCTACAGAGCAGAAAACAAATTGGTGTAGGGGAGCAATGTCTAAGGTGTTCCCAGCATACATGACGTGGGCGGAGGCCGCCCACAATGGGCGGAGCGCGCTCTGAAGTGTACAGCGTTTTCTACAAGTCCTCATAATTCGGGCCGGAGAAGTCTTAGTTAGTGAGCCGGAAAAAGGTGGATAGAGGTGGTGGAGGAGTTCAAAGTGGGCGGAGTTTGCGACGGAAATTCATAACTCGGCTCCAAGAAGTCCCGGAGGCCGGGAAAAAGGTGGATAGAGGTGGGTGGAGGAGTGGAGGCCAACTGTCATCGGTGGGCGGGGCATGACCAAAGTGGGCGGAGTTTGCGACGAAAATTCATAACTCGGTTCCAAGAAGTCCTGGAGACCGGGAAAAAAGTGAATTGAGTTCGTCAACGGAAGGGAGGTCAACTGCTATTGGTGGGTGGGGCGTGCACCAACGTGGGCGGAGTTTGCCCTAAACTTATAATTTAGTTCCGAGAAGTCCAGGAGACCGGGAAAAGAGTGGGTCGAGTCCGACAACGCACGGGAGGACAGCTGCTATTGGTGGGTAGAGCGTACACCAAAGTGGGCGGAGTTTGCGACGGAAATTCATATAACTCGGTTCCAACAAGTCCCGGAGACCAGGAAAAAGGTGGATAGAGGTTGGTCGCTGAAGGACTATGGAAGGTCCCAACGCTGTTGGTAGGTGGAGGCCTAAACCGTGGGCGGGTTCTCTACGAACTTGTGACTCCGGCTTGACAATGAAGTCTGAACCGGGAAGCTAAGTGGATAGCGTAGGGAAAGAAGTGAATTTTGTTTATGCCTACACAAAGGCGGATGTTCCAAATTTAAAATCCGCTCATAGCAGATTCAGATATTAAAGAGTGGG